TGATCGAATGTGCCGAGTTGCGCGGAATCATGAACTACCAGGAAGTGGAGGCGCTTAAACACACCATTAAGACCCTTACTGTCATCAAATGGCGTGGAACCAAGAGCAACAAGCTCAGCTCCAAGTTCTGGAAGCAGCTGCAGTATGAGATGCCCTTCAGACGCACGGAGCCCATGCTCACGCATGAGGCGGCACTAGACGTCAGCGAGCAGGGCCCATTCGGAGAGCTGCAGACTGTTTCTGCCATGTCCATGGCGGCGGCCACTTCCACGGCCATGGCCACCGCCCACCCAGAGCTGCGCTCCTCGTTCCACAGCACCTACCACACCACCATGAGGCAGAAACACTACTACCGCAGTTACGAGTACGACATGCCCCCAGGAGGGACCTTGCCACCTCTCTCATCCCTGGGAAACCAGCACACCTACTGCAACATCCCACTGACACTGCTGAACGGACAGAGGCCACCCGGGAAGAGCCGAGAGCACAGTCTGGAGGAGGGGCACGCCAACAACGCCATGCTCCCTCTGCTGCCCAGGGAAACCAGCATCTCCAGCGTCATCTGGTAATGGCAAGCAGACTCGGCGCCAGCTTTAGGAAGATCGGTCAACGTCAGACATGACGAGGTTACAGTCTGGCAGTTCTTAGGAACACAGTTCGAGGTTGTGATTACGGCAAAAAGCATTTGGATCCGTATGGCTCCGGCAGCTAGTCATGGAGGCAAAGCAGGTTCCTGGACGTGGTTTGTCTTGTTGTTCAGTCGGACTGCACCTCGTTTCCAGAGGATGTTTTCTATGTGGAACTACAGGGGATAATGCGAACACACTGTTTCATTAACTAGCGAGAAATGGACTCACAAGGACTCCATGGTGAAGAACCAACACACTATGGCAATTATTCACAGGAACAAATACACACACACACACATACACACATACAAGAAATTGCATCCATACAAGCAAAAGGAAAACAGGGTCTGTACATATATTTCAATTTATTTGTAGCATCAGTGTTTTCCTGTTTTGTTCTTTTGTTTATTTTATTCAATCATGTTTGTTGCCTTCTCTAATGTAGGACTTTTGCTTTACCTTGTCATAAAGAGTTGTATATTTTTAATCTTTTTCTCTTTTTTTGTCTCTTTTTCTTTTTTCTTTCTTATTTTGTAACACGCTCGATAGGAAAGCCAATATGACATGTGCGTGCGCTGTTGTTTGTTTGTTTAAAAATCTTTGTGTTGTTTAAAGAGAACTTTTTTTTTTGAACTTTGGGAAACGCCTGGACATTTCAGGAGCTTCGAGGAGCTAAAACTTGTTTTCGTTTACCTGTAAAAGGTGTATCTAGTTTAAAAGGAAACTCTCTCTTTTTAAAAAAAAATATAGAATATGCAAAAAGAAGGAGAAGCTGGCAAAAAATATATCGTCTCGTGGGACTGAAAAGGAGGAGTGGTTGGGGAGCAGCGCTCGTCCTCTCCAAGCAGATAGACTGGCAGATCTCTCTCTAAAGCTTCATATTTTCTATTGAGACAAACAGCCTTGCTGTTTTAGAGTGATAGTGAAATGCCTCACCTTAAAAAGAAATCTGTAGATTATTTTAAAAAGAATTCTATTTTTATAACTGAAAAGAGTTTGCTTGAGATGTCATACTTATTTGCATTTCATCTTCCATAGAAAGAGGATTTGTGTATAAGTGTTATGCTGGTTTTGTGCCCTTCGGTGTGGCTCCTGGTTTGTTAAAGAGATTAAGGTGGCTTTTAAATCCCACATGACAAAAAAATGTCCTCTGCTCTTCTAGATTCAAAGGTAAAGCATTTTCAATGTTTTGGTTTAAAAAAAATAACAGTATTATTCCCGTCCTGATAATTCATTTGGTTCATATGGATAGTTCATGTTTAAGGAAAGAAAAGAATTCCTTTTGTGTTTTGAAAGACTTTTTACATATATTTGAAGGTGTGATTTTTGAGTATGCATAGCAAATAGATATGTATTCTATATATAATATAGATATTTATATAAATATATAAACACAATTTTCACTTGGAAAGAAATGTCTATCTTTATAGAAACACAATCATGATCAGTTGCCCTTACTTTCTCACTGCACATTAAAAACATTGATTTCCTTTCGATGTTTTCCTTTTGTGTCCAAGTTGAACTAGCAGTAATTCATAACACACCTGATTATGCTCTTAACCTTTTTTCGTTTTTTTTTTCCATTACCACATGATTTTGTAATGGCTAGAGTCAGCTACATCCACCAGATGTGAAACAGGACATTTGAATCAGTGATCAGCCCTGGGAAATCTGGCACAGGGTAAATGAACAAGTGTTTTAGTACTGTTGAAATAAGTCTTTAAACAAACTGTGCCTTGAACGTCCAGTTCATAGACGTTATAAAGATGTTTCTATAAAGTCTATGATCCAGCTGCTCTTTCTGGTGGATAACACCGAAATGCTGTAATACTAGACTCATTGGAAGGTGGTGTCCATGTGTGTACAATCATTGCAACTACATTTGCCCTCTAAGAGAATAGACGGGCATGTTTCTTGACGCTATGGTATAGTTGTGTCCAGAAATATGCCAGATCTAATCATATTCCTCTGTCCTCTATTTCCTCATCCTGTCAAGAAACACGTTACGTAATTATACTGATAATTATTCTTTCTTGCAGCAAAATGTCAGTGCAGTGAAGAAAGGAGAAAGGCAGATAAGCAGACTGTTTAAAGGAGATGTTCTGGTATTAGATAGCATGAATGCAAATCATGGAATTTAACTAGAACTAAACAAAACACTGAAAATAGGTGTGCAAAAACATGTCAGCTCCTCAGTTCATGCAAAAAAAACCTTTTGCATATACTTATACACAAATACTTATCCGTACTAAAAAACAAAACAAAGAACCACTGAGACAATAAAAACACTGAAACTAATAAAAACTAAATTATTTTTTAAAAGAATAAAAATGAAACTGAAATGAGCAGCTCTTTTTCTTCTTCTTCTTCTTTTAGCTGTGCCTCATAGGGTCGCCACATCGGATCATCTGCCTCCATGTTGCCCTCCCTAGCATTCGCCTCTGTCACACCAACCCTCCGCATGTGCTCCTACACTACATCCATGAATCTCTCTCTGTGATCTTCTTCTTTTCACTCATTCCTGGCAGCTCCATCTTCAACATCCTTTGTCCAGTATAACCATTATCCCTCCTCTGTACATGTTCAGACCATCTCAGTTTTGCACCTTTGTCTCCAAAACACCCGACCTGAGCTTTCCCTCTGATGTACTCATTTCTAATCCTTTCCACAACTAAAGAAGCATCTGAGCATCTTCAACTCTTCAACCTCCAGCTCAGTCTCCTGTCTGTCAGCACCACCATCACCAAGCTATACGTCATAGCAGGCCTCGCTGCCATGTTGCAAACCTTCCCTTTTTAACCTTACTGCTATCGTTCTGTCACAAATCCACCCTGGTGGCAAAGTAAAACAAAAACAAACAACTTCAATGACTTAGTTGGCCATTTGAGAGAAGTGTGACATACAAACATACAGGTAACGATGGAAATCAAACGGTGTCTAAAACAAGCACCATGAAATTCTCTGGTTTTAAGCTACCTGAATAAGTTTGCTGCATGCTCTCCCCCTTGCTCTCTCCTTATGTTCACTGCCTTTCAGATAGAGCCAGAAATGCCAAGTGAAGATAAAACTTTAACAAAAAAAAAAGGTGCTGATATAAGAAACAGCTTGGCTTATGGCCAAGCAGTTTCAGTTGACGCCTGACATTTGCCTGCACATTAGTGGGTGAGTGCTGACAAACAGTGCCATCTCCTGGGGATACACACTACCTACAACGGGTGTCTGAACACTGGTAAACACAGAGACAGAAAGCAGATTTACTGATGTCTGCCAACCCCAGGAGAAAACACAGAAACTGGGGCAGAGGAAGAAAAAAAAGCAGGAAAAGACTGAGTAGAAGGCAGAATGATGAAGAAATGAAGCTAAAGACAGTGTTTATAAAATTCAGCCTGTGGACATTTTTGCTGGAGACAAGGGCGGTGGTGCTGGGGAGTGCTGCTTTCAGACTATGCAAACACGAAGAGAAACTGTAACACCGTACCAATTTAAAAAGAAAGAAAGACAGAAAGAAAAGGGTCTCAAATGGTGGAATCTGCTTTGGTTGTATTCTTTTTGTAATAAGTGATGCTAACTCAGGCAAACACCCACAACATATTGTCAGCCACAAGAAAAGCAGCCTCCTGCCAAACCAGTGTGGTTTTATTAGCAGACACAGGATTAATAGAGTCTTTATTACCCAGAGCAATTACAGGCTTAATTGGAGAGAAAATAGGCCCCGATGAGAAAGAAAAAGGCAGAGGAGATAGACGGGATGGCTTCAAAGTCCACATGAGCACATGTGCAAGGCCGTTTCCGTGTGTGTGTGTGTGTGTGTGTGTGTGTGTGTGTGTGTGTGTGTGTGTGTGTGTGTGTGTGTGTGTGTGTGTAAATACACCTTCATGTGCATGGTTTTGTTTTGTTTTTTCTTGTTATTTTACTCTTTGCAATGCCTTATCTGTCCACCAGGAGGTATGTGAGCTATTTCATCAGTATCTCAAGTTTTCTGTGCCAGCCTTTATTATTGGCATCACCTCCTCCCTTTAGTGCTTTGCTGTTCTGCTTGCATGAAATTAATAGCAACAAATTAAGCACAGAGACACTGCTTTTTCTGCTTTAGGGCACCATTGAAAGGTCTACTGATCTCGAAAACATCTTTTCAGAGAGTTTTTGATGTGGAACCAGAGATGGAAAACAATTTGACTGAAAAGTCAATTTGATCAACTTTGATCAACAAACAGTGATTCGCTGTTTGCTTACTTGTTCGAAAGAACAGTAAATATGTTGATTTAAACGCATGCGGTTATTATAAGACGGCGAGGATGGTGACTGGAGAGCTCCCGATACAGCATTATAGTCTAGAAGTTTCAGAAATGTGACTCATAACTTTTTGTTCTTTCCAAGAGCCGTAATTTAACAATGTTGCCTCTCGCCGAAAGCCCCCTGCTTTGTGGCTTTTTAATAAGGTAGCTCGTCCTGCACTTTCTCCTTTCTCTGCTCTCACCTCGGAGACAGCCACACACACACAGTCACCTCCCATGTTGTTGCGCCCCATTTTTTAAGGTGTACCCAGAAACAGGAGGTCCTTTCATACTTCGGTGACCGAGATGAGAAATCTTCTCCAATTTTACTCCCAACAAAGAAGCTTTACGTCTGCTTTCATCTCTTTCTTTCCTTTGTCGTTTGGGAATCACGGTGGAAAGCAGCTAAGCACACGTACCTAAGTGCTTTATTTGAGTAGTTCAATTTTCTGCCAATTAATATCGTTGTGTTTTACTAATGAGTGTTCTAATCAATTCAAATTAAATAAATCTGACCACATTGTGATATATTATTGTAGGCTAATATCCCCGCAGTATATGAAACGTAAAATCTGCTCCATGTTGATGCAACATTGTGACACAAATGTAATCGTTTTTAATCCAATAATTATCCGATCATATGCCATTTTACTTCTGATGTGTGTATAATGCAGGACCATTACTTGAAGTATTACTTTAATGTGTGCTACTTGTTCCTTAATTAAAGTGTGTGAGAACTTCTACCACAATTGTTTGGGTATAATATAAAATGCTAACAATCTGGCCGGGTTATTTTATTGGTGCTGCCACAAAGCGAGACCAAGTGCAGGCTCAGGCCATCTGACCTCTGAACAGTGATGAAGTATTATAGCTGCTAGATGAGATGTTCAGGGACTGAGCTTCGTAACATCGTGTGGCTATGGTGTAACAGCAGCAAGTCCTTGTGCCATTGTCTGAGATGAACATTCACTCAGTAGTGTCTCATTACAGAGGTCTGGTTTAAACCATAGGTGTATTTTATGCGGCGTCTCTAGCTTTTGTTCTGTTGGTTACAGGGAGATTATTTTTTTTCTCCAGCGAGCAAGTTGATACCTTACCGCACTGTGCCCACACTGTGATGGCCAGACTACGAGGAACAGGAACATTACCTGAGGTCCTTTTCCTCAACCACTTTTGCCCCTTTCCGTGTGCATGACAGGGGAAGTTGATCCATGTGACTTGCACAATCGCTACACGTTGTATACTGTTGCACTCTGGTGGCCTAACAGGGCATTTCACCTGAATTCAGAAGTCCTGCATCTGTGTTTATACTCCACAACTTACCTCCTTCACTGGACAGTGAATAGCTGCTAAACCAAGCCCTGACCTTTTGAAGATAATCTGTAGTTGATGTGACTGAACTGTAGTTGACATCAATCAGTGTGACTCATATTTTTCGAGGCGACGTGATTTCTTAAGTACTTTCTGCGTGTGTACTGAGACACATTATCTTCCTTCGTAAGAGTTTGTCCAGGGCTGATTTCACCGAGGAAAATGTGTCAGCAATGACGGAGCAATTATCACTCACATACATAGTAGTTTGTTTTTAGGGTTTTTTTTATTATCATTATTATTATAGAAAAATATTTTATATAAAAACAAATAAGTTATGAATTACATGAGCTGCTTTATATTTTCCTCTATTATGACATATTCCCTCAGCACATTCTCTCTTTCTTTCTCTGTACCGCTCATTCTCACATGCACACTCACACTTGCTTGTGTTGGTCATTTCACAGTCACTGAAGATTTCCCAAATACATTTGTCTTTAATTAATTGAGTCCCACACGTCGTCCTCACCTGCCAACCAATTAAATCTTTGAGCAGTTCAGTCCATCTGACAGCTGAACCTGCTGAATTCATCTCAGTCCACTATGGACCCGTGACCTACTTCCCGTAGAACATCTCCATGAGGACCTCTTCGATGTTGACAGTCCCTATGACGGGTCTGAAGAAGAGCTGAGCGACCACTGGCGGGCTGATGGCCCTCAGCATGGACAGAGCTATGAGCAGCTTGGCGAACCGCGTCGTATCCTCGCGATGGATCAGCCTGACGTGCTCGTTTAGAGCCTGGTGCGCCTCTCGACGCAGCGACTGGATGTAGTGCAGACAGCGCAAACCCTCCAGATCTAGAGGTGGGGAAGGATGGGGGGGAAGTGAAAAGTTGATAAAAATGTTACAACGCAGACAAGTAGTTAGGTAAAGTGTAAATATCAGAGCAGTCATGCTGAAATAAAACAAACTTTTACCCATCAATTAATAAATCAAACGGTTCCACTCGTGAGCGTGGCACCTGTGCTTAAAAACTGATGCTCTGCTATCAAAAGCCCTGACCCACCTGGGTTGAAGAGCACGGCTCCCTTCAGGTACGCATATTCCTTCGTGCTTATATCTACACTCCAGCACTTCTTTAAGAAGGCTTTGATCGCTTCGATGTCCACAACAGAGACGCCGGGTGCCCCCCTGTTCTGGCCGCCCACAGCCTCGCTCTGCCTGTCCGGACAGCCCGTGAGGATGCGCTGCAGCATGCTCGGCTCCACGGTCTCCGTGGTCTCAAAGTCCACCCGGTCTTGTGCGAGTCCCAGCACGAGCAGAGGCGCCCAGCCGCTCCGGATCAGCACGAGCTGGTCGTCCTCGGGCAGCTCGCGAAAACAGGGGACGTTTTTCACGAAGCGCAGCGTCTTCACCAGGACCGCGGACGCCGCTTTGCAGGTCACCTGCGGGGAGCGGAGGACGCCCCGGCGCCGAGACGAGCCGCAAGAGCAAGCCTGCTGTCGGACCTCCTGCAAAGAGGCAGAAGCGGAAGAGGGGGGCTTCTGGAACAAGTGCTGCAGCGTGTGCTGTTGGGGATGCTGCTGTTGCTCCTCGGCGGTCACCAGGCGGTCATCACTCTTCAGAATGCTGTAGAGAATGCTGCTGCTGCTGCTGTTTTTTCGGCCGCTGGCACCCCGACAGCGGCAGCCCTCCAGCGTGGCCATGACCGCCGGCAGGAGCTCAGCGCGTCCCGCTGCTTCTTTGAAGCGCTTGAGGTCAGTGACAGAGGTAGCCCTGTTTTCTTAGCCCCTGATAGCCCCGAGTGAAGGGCAGAGCGTTTATATTAGCTCCCGTCTGTCCCCGCGCTTTGAGAGATTGTTCAGACCCCCTGAACACACACACACCCCTCCCTTCTCAAACACCGCCCCTCTCTCCACCCCTCTCCTATTTCCCACACTTACCTTTTCACAGCCCTCACATATTCAAGACACACCGGTGTAAATGATTTTTTATTATTATTTCTTATTTATTTTTATTGATTTATTTGCAAGTAAACACGTCGGACAGTAGCAGCTTTCATCTCTGTTGCTCACCTGTGAAAGGTTAACCATGGCTCAGATAAAACAGGAAATGTAACATTTCCGTCTGCTCGCTCGGTTTATCAAACTGTTCAGAAATCATGTTTGTTCGTTTTAAAAACCCGACAGCCGTGCTTAATCAAAGAGACTTCTTTATAAATTGTGTGAAAGAAACAAAAAAGCAGAGGAAGAGAGCAAGAGAGAAAGAAAAGTGGAGAAGGCGCCAGAGACCAGCTTTATTCTCAGCATTACCTTGACTCTCTGAGCAGTCATCGGACAGAAGCCAGTAAAAGAAAAAATAGTCCAGGGAGGGATCTGAAGGCTTAATTATTTTAGGGACAATTTATATGATTTTCTATGAGAAAGAAGTAGGAAGAGCTGAGGCGCGAAGGCCGGCCTCCAACCTTGACTCGGACACGCTGATATTGATTTAACCGTGAAAACTGGAGCTGGTGAATTATGATGTCATGACTCAGTGCTCTCCTTGCTTCTGTCACTGAAGGAGGTATTTGGGAGGTGGTGGGGAGAGGGGGCGGTGGAAGTCAGTGAATGAGAAACTAAGAAGGACAAGTTGGGATAAAGCAGATGAATTAGAGGTTTATCTTAATTGCTCCTGAGAGGGATCACAAGTTAGGGTTGGCTGCTACCTGAAAGAGGGAGAGGAAAATCCCTCTGGGGAAATCAGAGCTGATTACAGAGGAGTTCAACCAGACAGAAAGCAAGCAATAGAAGATGTCAGGATGAGCAGAACTGTGGGTGACTAATGCAAAAGTTTGGAGCAAAGGTTCTAATCTCAGTTTGTTTTGTAGACGGTCTGAGCATCTCTGCCCTGGCCACGTCCCAAATACCCTCGCATGCTTAAAAAATGAGGGTCTTAACAAAAGGTTGTCTTTGGTTTGGTGAAAGGATGACATTGAGTACATGGTTACATTCGTGAAATTGCAGTAAGCAGGACCTCAGCGTCCCTTGCTCTGTTGCATTGAAGGACACAGTTATGAAAAGAGAGACAGGATGAAAACTTTTTTTTTCTGTAGTGCTACAACATTGTTCAGAGGCCGAATGTCTTTGTATTGATTTAGCAGAAAGAAGAACCACAGAAATTTTTCACATGTTTATATCAAGGACACAGCGGGATAAACAGCCTTCACTCAGCCTGTCTCTTCTCCTGCTCAAGGCCCAGCCAGCGCAGGTTATAAAAATCCTCCCGTCTCAAGGAGAGATTACATTATGTCTTGTTGCAAAAGCACAGAGTTGAAAAGACAGCTGCAGCGCTCGGTCGCTCTTTTTCAGGCCTCCTTTTCGTCTATTGTTTGTTTATCAGATTTGGACAAGGTGTCTCTCCACTTAACCATCCTTCCCAGGGTAAATTTAGTCAATCTGAAATATTTCTTAAACATCTTTCACCTAACTGGCCTCCCACCACCACAACAAGTTGATGCTTTATTTAAAATTGGATGAAGATCTGAAAACTGATGCCAAACATGCCACCCTATCCCCTAAATAATGACTGATGCATGTCATCTCATAGACACGTATGTACCACCTTTGCATCTAAACACCAGATGAATTAATGCAAGATGTCAGTTTAGATGACAACAGTTGGGGTTTAATACTGCAACAGTTGAAAACATTTATCTGCATTACAAGTCTGTTTCCTGTGAGCTAGGAAATCTGAAACAAATGGATTGGGCTGCACAACTAATCCGCAGAGACTGGCAAGTGTAAAACTTTAAATGGCTGTTGCTGAAAGGGTAGGGGGAAAAAAAGCAATAGTTCAGTTTAATGAAAACTTTCAGGTTCTTAACTTTAGGAGGAAACTCAAGGGTAACGCGTTGATAATGCATTAATGAAATGTGCAGAGACTTTTGGTTTCCCAGGCTGAAAGTTGTTAGTTTTTCTTTTTGATATGAGGCAGACTTGTTCTCTGGCACGGTGCCTGCTGGTTCCCAGCCCAGTCTGACTTAGCTCAGCATGGGGAGGCCCTCTCACGGTCGCATCACACTACTTAAAGGATGGGACTTCTTACAAAACATGCATTCTGTTTTGTGAGAGGGTTGCGTTGTTTGTGTCTTTAAGTCAAGACTCCTCTGAGTTCAAGTAACGTTTATCAAAAACTGCAAGAGTGTCTTTTCGCACCTCGGCAAAGAAAACACCACCGTTCTCTTCTCTGAGTCGCTTCTGCCAGCGAATGGGCTGCTCTCAAATAAAAGCAGATCAGTAGTTTGTGTGTGCATGTGCATACAAAACGCGCAGTTGATCTGCACTTTTGGAAACTTGCCGCTGTGACACGCCGACAGCTCGAGTCAGGCAGCTTCAGCCACGGCACAGTTTTGTTTCTGGTGGTGAAATTTAGAGCCAGGTCAGAACCACAGAAGATATTTACTCAGACAGGGGCCATGGGAAAGTGAAATCCACTTGCAGGAATTACAGAGGGAGGGAGGACAAAAGGAAGTGCCATTAAACTAAGTGGCTAACTTTCATAAATCTTCCGATGGGATCATACCAGCTCGACACCACTGAGCTCATGCACCACATCCATCTTCAATAATATTGCACGTTCGTACATCAGATAAAGATACTTAATATGGGAAGTAATATATTAAAAACTAAGAAGAATGCAGTACAGAGGCATAAAGCAAAGAGGCCTGGAACCCTTTAGGCGTACTCGCAGCACTGATGATTTGTACTTGTAGGTCGAACCACACCCACTTTAAATTTTGTTCTCGACTGCATGTCATGAACTGGCTGTGTGGAGGCAGATGAGGACCCAAACGCAAAACTCACGGAGACAGGAACTGAACTCAAAATCACTGCTTTATTGCAGGCCTTTAAAACGAAACAGAACTAAACTGGGAATACTAACAGAAGGCCGAGGGAACACAGAAAGACACACAGGTTTGGGAAGAAGACATTGACGACGCAACACTGACCTGAGGGAGACATGCACATAAATACACAGAGGGTTAACGAGGGAAGTGGGAGCACACGGGGAACACAGCTGACACAGATAATCATAACGAGACAGGGCAGGAGTGAACACAACATGACGCATACTGACGAGAGACTGTCAAAGTAAAACAGGAAGTACACAGAGGTTCAGACAGGAGAAGAGAGAGCACGGGGAGAACACAGTCATAACGGGCTGGGGGAAAACATGGAATAAAACACAAGGAGAGACGAGGGCTCACAGATACACAGGGGCACACAGGAGGTAACCAAATAAGGAACATCTTAACTAAATAACCTAGGAACCAAGGCATAAATAGGGAACAAAATACAAAAACACACAAAAACTAAGAATACTGGGCCAACATGGCCAGGGACCATGACACTGCACAGCTATGACATTTCATCATTTCATGCACAGAGATGCTATTACACTGACAAAATCATATAACACCTGCCATAGAGCTCAAAACAGTGAATTATTTCACTGAAAACAATACCACCCACACTGCTGAGTCCGGTAGACAATTTCCCTAAAAAGACAATTGCAGTTTGTCTTAAACGTCAGCCTTGGATGCATCGCACTCACAAACAAAGAAGTTCTGCGTCCATCACAAAATACTAAATTTGAGCTTTGTTAGCGGGTCCAGATTACTTCAAAACACAAAATGCTTTTAATAAGTAAGTATTGTTTTGTTCTTTAGTGGCAGTAAGCACTTCCTGAAGGCTGATCACACAGATGAAATCCTGAGGTTGCCATGACCCAAGAAGACAGTTCTTTGGCACATTCAGCCAAGTTGGCCTTGAAGCACAAGTGCGGAGAAAAACACAAGGTTTTTACCAAGTACTTGGGGCTTAGATACCCACAGACACTCCAAGACAGGTTTCAGAAACTTAAGAGGACAACTTTGTATGATTCAAGGCTTCGCATTAAATGGCTCCCCTGGAAAAGTCTTGTACCGCATTGTTTGTTGATTTGTTGGGCACTCTTCTGGCGGTTGCTATAGTGACTGCTTCCATTTTCTCTCTGTGGCTGCTCACATAAAGGACTTCGTCCTTGTCTCCATAATAGTTACAAATTGAATACTGCACTTTCCAAGGACTCGTGTCACCAACTTACAGCAAAGTGAGTGTATGAGTGTGCATGTGCATCTGTGTGTGCATGTGTGTTTGTCAGAGCATGAAAGAAGACAAGCTGACTTTAGATTTGTTGCACAAATGGAAAATAAAATGTACATTTTTTTTTCTAACTTGGTCTTTTTTATGAATCAGAAAAGAAAGGACTAACAATACAAGCACTAAGATGAATGTGGAAAGATGCAACGAAGTGCAAGGCAGATTAAAAGGACTAATCAGGGATAAAAATGAAAAATTAAAAAGAAAAGGGTCTCGATCTGAGAGCACAAGATCAAGACTGTGTACACCAAAATCAGAACAATTGAGTTAACAGGACAGTTCAAACCAAAACTGTTAGGCACGACTCACGCTCCTGTCGCTGAAGTATGGCCCGCCTTGTCTGGTGATGTGAAATGCTCAATCACTGCTCACACTGAGGAACGAAAGGATATATAATGGAACGGTGATTATTTTAGAGGTCTGTGGAAATGTTCTAAGCACGACTTTGTTGTTTTTTTTTTAAATGTTTTTAATGTACAAGCACACTGCTTCTTCCTAAGTCATTATTTTAAAAAGAGCAAAGAAAGTGGGTCCTGAGACATTTCACCATATTTTTAAGTTGGTTTTAATGCATGCACTGAAGCCCTGAACATTTCTAGACTTCGCCCAACAGAGGTGTGAAAATGCAAATGTCAGTTTCTTTTAGATGAGATTAGAACCTCTTTAACCTGCCGGCTCTCTAAGAAAA